GAACGAAATGCGGCAAATACACTTGCGCTGGACTCTAGTACATATGTTTGAATGGTTGTATATATATTTGTAGGTATGTACATATGTTTGTGTATGTACATATGTTTGTGTATGTACATAGGTTTGTGTACATGTATATATGCACATATGTATGTAGTACAAACGAAAAAAAATCTAATAAGCTGCTCGTTGATATAAATGCGAAGTGTACTGCCCTGTAGTTCGGCTCCCCGGTGCGCGACTAGTGACTTTGCTAACTCTCAGGATTGGGTACTGGTCCCAAGCCTTTGCAAACACCCATTCGTTTTCCTAACGAATTTAGCATGTGGATGTCATTGCAACGTACCGGGCGGTACGACTTTGCATTACCTTGTTCTAGCAATTTATCTGGTGAGAAGGGGTTAGTCAATTCTCTAGTGAAACTGAGTTAGGTATATGGTTAACTAAATAGGATTGCAGCTGGACCACGTCGAGTATACTAGCGATTTGTCTAATGAAAAGAGGTTTGTTATTTCGCTAGAGCAACTGAGTTAGCGATATCATTAAATAGATAGGATTGCAGCTGGACCACGCCGAGGGAACTAGCGATTTGTTTGGTGAAAAGGGGTTTGTTATTACGCTAGTGAAATAAATAAACTGCCACTGGAATAGCGTCCACCATTTTCCTTTTGTTCATTTAATATTCATCAATTTTTTATTAAAATATGTATGTACATACTATATCATATTCTACAGCAAATGCCATGCAAATCCGATTTTGAAACTTTACACAAACGCAAGCTTCATCAAAATTGCAAACTAAAAAAAATTAGATTTTTTCCGAGTATGTAGTTTTATAGCCCGTAAAATTTTAGTAAAATGCAAGTTTCAAGTGGCTGAAAAATACCGTTGATTTTGCGCAATTGTTTTTTTTTGTTGACGGTGCTAGGCATTTTTTTCATATTAAGAACATATCGACCCCTTGCGAAAAATTATGGTGTGTTACATTTATTACGAAATTCACTTTTTGATACAAGTTTGTTTTACAACCCATAACGCATCACCTGTTCAAATATTACGGCTTAAATCCCAATAACTACACCAAAAATGGACTAGATTTTATCGTATGTGACAAAACTTTTTATAAAGTTTAAAAATCGCATTTACAAAGTTTCTGCTATATTTTAATAAATAATTTAAATGAACCAAAGGGAAATTTTCAATACTTAGGAACAAAATGGTCGATATTCAAATTGCCGACGGTGTATGCAACGATTTATTTGTAATATGATTTATTTAAATAAATAAATCAAAAAAAAAACAATTAATTACAAACTAGTAACATGCTAAAAACTGCAACTATTTACAGGTTTTTTTTAATTGTGCGCTTTTTTTTGGAGCTGCATGGCTTTTCTGAGCTGGTCTTCTGGAGAGCCTGCACCTTCAACCATAGAAATCGATTCTGCAAAGTTTTTGGGTTATTTACAATTAGTTCAGTTATTATTTCAGCATTTAATTTACAGTGCCGCCCAAAATTATTGGCATAGAGAATTACTCACAATGTATGCACAGTTTTTTATTATAATTTCTTTTAAAATTATAGTTTATACTACAACAAAAAACATTTTTATTTTACAAACTTCTTAACTATGTGCAAAACTCTGGAAAATTCAATAAATTTGCACACAAACTTGTAAATTTTTAATTAGATTTTCTAAAACGCAAGTTTCAAGTTGCCAAAAAATCAACTAGATTTTTTAGCAACTTTAGCCTTGCACATTTTATACTAAAATTTAATGGGCTGCAAATCTACAAAGAAATCTTTCTAGAAAATCTATGTAATTAAAAAGTTACGCATTTTTATGGAAGTTTATTGAATTTACCTGAGTTTTACTCAGAATTTAGAAGTATTGTTTTATATTTTCTGTTGTAGTATAAACTATATTTTTAAACAAAAATTTGGAAAGAGATTAGAATAAAAAACTTGGCATACATTGCGAAAAATTCTCTGTGCTAATAATTTTGTGCGGACCGTACATTACTACATACCAATTAAAGCTCTAAAAAAGTGTTTCAGGCTTTTGAGGGATGCTTTGCCTATAGGTTTGCCAGATTTTGAAACGGAGAAAGGAGTACATTTATATTTTCGATAGAAAAAAAGCAGTACATGACATGAAAAAGGAGTAAATTTTTTTTAAATTTTTTTGTGCAATTTATTGTTACAAATTACCATTAATTAGGTACAAAAAACAAAGATATCTTGGAAATCTTTTTCAAAGCAACAATAAATGTGAAAAATAAATAACTATATGGGTTTGCTTTCCAATAGGGACGGTTGTTAAAGAGACGGTGATCGAAGGGGAAGTGTACGTGGCACCTTTTCCGACCTTTTTGGAGAGGGCATGAACCGTCATTGACAAAAATGTTACTCCCGACCACCTAGGGCCCCTATGGACCCATTAGAAAAATTGCCAAAAGTCACAATTTCCACTTGCGTCCACAGTATTTTTGCGTAGAATTCAGTTCTCAATGACCGCCCTAATAGGGAAGTTTCCCCAACTAAAAAACTAAAAACTACAAAAGAATTCCAGACTCTTTCTGAATGTATGGCCATTTTTTTAATTTAAGCCTTATAATTAATTTAATATTTTTCTGATTTTTATACACGAGCCCTGTCCCTAAGGCTATACTTACACCTTTTCACTATGACATTTAACTTTGCTTACTAAGTAGTGTTTGCCACAATATGAAGTACAGCGCGCAAAATAATAACAGTCGTACAGGTTTTTTTTAAAGTAAAAGGGTTCTTTATAGATTTTGTGTTTTTTTTGTTAACTTTGTAAATACTTTACTTTAATTTTATTAATTGGTTTTAAAATTTTAATCCTGATTTGCATTTGCAAGATTTGGGAGATAAGTACATGCGGCACGAACCTCATTTTCAGGTGTATTTTTTCTTAGATTTTGTATAAAAAAAAAGAAAAAACCTGTATAGGATTGGTCGAATTAATGAGTATGAGACCTTATGTTGGACAAAAGACGGATTATAAAGGACCCAAATGGGGGAAATTAGACTATGGTTACAGAAGATATGTAATAAAGTAACCGACGAAGACTTGCGCTTTTCTCCCAAACCCCCTGGTAAACCCAAATGAAGGTTAAATTTAAAGACTATACAATAACTACTTTTTTTACTTGCGCTTTTCTCTCAAAGTGTTTACCGGTAAACCCCAAACCCAAATGAAGGTTGAACTTTAAAAATAAATTCAACAAATTGAAGTAAAATCTGTGGATAATTTATTTTTCAACAAAAAAACTGTGCAACAGATATTATTTTATACCCTGTATATGATAAAATATTAATAGCTGGAAAAAGGAGTACAAAAGAAGTACAAAGCTAATAAAGGAGTACATTTCCAGATATTTTTTTTTGGGAGTACAAGGGAGTACAGTGCGATAAAAAGGAGTACGTTTACTCCCAAAAGCAGTACGTCTGGCAACCCTATTTGCCTAGCACCCCGTCAATGTTGTATAACATTGTGACCGCGTCGGCGATGATATTTTTTGAGTTTTTGCATACACCACCAGGAAGCAAGAGCCAACGCATAGTTTTGACCTGAAATAAGTGAAGAGTTTGATATTACTACCTTTTTGATTGTAAAAGAACTTTAACTTACATAAGACACGCGATTCCCCCTCTCTGTCCTTATCAATTTGTTCCACTGCGTTGATTGAATTAAAGGGGAATTTAGCTGATAGGTTCTCTTCATAGATACGCGTAGCTTGCAACTGCTGAAACAAAACCATGAGCTCCGCGACTTCCCCTAGCAAAACTTCCTGTTGGTCTAGAATTTATTAAATTAAATTAGAGTCAATAAGCATTTTAAAAAGAGAGAGATATACATACGTGTTATGTCTGATAACTGCAGCTCCAACGTTGCTGGAAACAATAATTCAATAATTAAATAATATAAATCAGTTGGCATTTACAAAAGAGTATAATACCTTTTGAATTCAAAAACTCCTGCTTCATTGTTGCTATAAATAATAAAGTAAATAAATTAATTATATAAATCAGTATGCATTTGAAAAGGAGTGATTTAGTTACCTGTGGCATTCAAAAATTAAATATCCGTTTTAAATGCCTTTTTCTTACCATTTTTATTGTTACCTCTTTTACACAAGTATATTTTATATATTATAATATTATATTTAATAATGACGCTTGCCTTTTTATTTTATCGCGTGCCACACAGAGACGTGTATATAAACTAAATATCAAAATAACACTGAAGTTTCAAAAGCAATAGCAACGCGCTGTCTTTTTATGTTGTCGCGTGCCACACAGAAACGTTTGCAAAGACAATAGGAGTTCTACTGCTATTTTATCTCGTATTTTCGTTTGACCGAAAAGCGTCGCAATACCATTCTGTAGTGAATTTCCCAACGACCAGTAATGTATAGAATCGTTAGTATAGTCAAAAAATTTGATCGCCGCATAACCATTTGTTAGCGAATTACCTAAAGCTCGGTAATGCATAAAATCGGTAGTCTGTGGTCGTTGCTTGACACCTTCCGAACTACAGGGTATTGAAGCGTACCGAGCGGTACGCGTGGCATGATCTTTCGGTAGCGATTACCTGGTGCGAAAGTGGCGTTTACCAATCGCTAGCGTATTTCCTAACTACTAGTAATGCACAAAATCGCTAGTATATGAAATTTTCAATATGAGCGTCGCATTACCTGCCGCTAGCGAATTCCCTTACAATGGGTAATGCCTGGAATCGTTAGCTTAAGGTCGTGTCTTGCCACCAGCAGAACTACAGGTTGATTGTCAAAAATTATGTGTTCGTTGTACATTTGTTCATGTTTGTCATTGTGCGTGTAATTTTCTAGAGTAGTTTTGTGCTCTCGCTATCTCCCTGTATTAACTCGTCCTTCGTTGGTATACTCTGATGAACATATCGCACGCCGTCTTTAAAAGAATCACAACTCAAAATATGGCATTTTTGAGGTTATGCGCTAAAAATGTACGCAGAGCTTTAATTTACCTTTCAGCAAAAGCTGGAGCAAATTTTTGTTATAATTTGTAAAAAAAAACCTAAGGTAAAGTAGTTTTTCGCATTTTCTGACAAACGTATTATTTTGAGGTGTGGCTCTTTTGAAGACGGTGTGCGATATGTGAGGATGATAGTAACGCCAACTTATAGAAGGTAGTGATATAGGAGCAGTTGAAATTTTCGCCCGACGTTTCTTAAGGAAAGCCATAAACGTAGCGACCGTTGGTTCATCTTGGTGTTATTTTGCTCTAGATTACACCGTTTGTGGGCCTGTTGAATGAATTTATGTCTTGGTTGTATGAAAAATCAAAAAAATTTGGATTTTCTGGCAAGTTGTACAACTTATCGCTACATTAATGGCCATGTTGTACAAACTCATTTAATTTGCCTTTAGTTTGGAACTTGGTATGGAGATATATGAAATCCATCGCATACTCTTGGAGAAAAATTGGAGCTATCGGAAAAGGGGGCGTGGCAGCTCCCATACAAACCGAATATTCATACTGCATATCTCTGAAATTGTGCATGGTTGAGTGATGAAACTTGGTATTGGCGCACATGAAATCGATCGCATAATCTTGGAGGAAAATTTTACATATTTGGAAAAGGGGGCGTGGCACCTCCCTTTCAAACCGAATTTTTCATACTGCATATTTCTGGAAATGTTCATGATAGAGTACTGGAATTTTATACGGGCGTGGCACCTCCCATACAAGTCGATTGGAACTTGGTGTGGTTATATATGAAATTAATCGCATAGTCATGGAGAAAATATGGACTTATTAGAAAAGGGGGCGTGGCACCTACCATACAAGCCAAATTTAATACTGCATATCTCTAGAAGTGTTCATGGTACAGTACTAGAACATCTCATAAGGAGATATATGAAATTAATCCCATACTCATTGAGAAAAATGGGCTGTTTGAGGAGAGGGCGTGGAAAAGTACAAACATACTGACTTTTACTTATCTTTGAATGTGTACATAGTTCTTCTGTAGGTATATTTGTGAGTGAAATCCTAAATGGCTGGAGGGATTTTAACAAAGTTTTGTGTGTTTGTTTGAGTGGGTATCTGGATAGCAAAACCATTTTGAATGATCCGATTTGGCGAATATTCAAAATATGTACTGGAAACGGTAAAGGCAGTCCAATTTCCAGGTGGTGCTGAGGTCGAGTTATTACTAAAAATCGACAAGTGATAAAAGGTGCCGTAAATGTCAGACTAGATCGACCTGCTGCACCATCGAGTATATCGAAATCTCGTGTCTTACGATTGGCCCAATGGATGTGATTTGCCAGTATTATTATGCGTTAAAGCTTCATTCGAAGAAACCAGATTTGAGTTGTGCAGTGGTAAATCTCAAATCACCACCCTAGAAAAAGCTTAAAAGCCAGTTTCATGAAAGCAATTTAATGAAAATTAATTTTTTTAATTGAATTTAATATAGAACCTGACAGAAAAAAATCTTAACTTAAATTGCTTCCGCGAAACTTTCTTTTAAGGTATTTCATCTCAGTCCATGTATGTATGTATATTGTATTTCTTTTGAACAAGGATACGCATTCATTTTGAAATTGCCACCAACTATAAGATAAAGTTTCTAGGGCACATTCACTATGGATCCGGATCATTGTTGCCACCAGGGAACTTCTCATGGACACAGCACTTTCGTTCGGTTATTTAAGGGGGCCAACGACCACAGTCTTAGCCGATGAATGTGTCAGTACAAATTGTAAATGTGGATTGTTGGAGAAACTTTTGAACCAAAATGTTTAAATTAAAAATCTAATTTTGGGCGGTACGAAGTTCGTCGTATCTGCTAGTATTATGTAAATGAAAAAATAACAAAGTGCATGCGAACATGTTTCCAAAAAAATTAACAATGATCCTTGAAACTTATTTATACGTCTCCGTTAACTCTCAGCAACAACAATTTTTGGAAATTGTTGTCAAAACAGCAATTTTTCGAAGTTGTTGTCAGGAAGCGTTCAACGGTGTGGGGTATTCAGCAAACGTAAAAAGCCTTTATACTACGATCGAAGATGGCAAGGGATTTCAATCAAATGAATAATTTAGTTAAAAATTATTGCATTCTTTAACACCTCTGGTATCCACAGACCTACGCGATTCTGTCGGTGCGAATCTATTCCGACAAAAATTAATACAATACCGACCATAGTTCTTAATTCACAACCACACACTTATGCCATTTTGCTGCAGCGATTTATTCTAACTTTCGTCGTTCCAAAATCGCAGACTGCTGTGGTTTAGGAATGGAAAAGGTCATAAGAAGGGGTTAGATCAGTAGATCTGAAATTCTGTTGAGATAATTAAGTTTAAAGTTGATTACTTATAGTAAATTCTGGGTAAATGCATTTGAAATGATTCTTGCCTAAATGAATGCAGGTGAATTAATTAATTCAAAGAATGTGTGCTCTTTGTCACCAAATAAACACTATATTTAACTAGACATATATGGGTATAACTTATATTTTAACAAAATGTTACTTAGACCCTTATGATTCTAACGGATTTTGTAAAATTAGAAACAAATTAACCCAAAAAAAACAAAATATGTCTGATATGGTGAAAACTTCGCCAAGTATACCAGGAAAAATATTTTATGGCAGCATTTTGTTCAAACTGATGGCATACGGAGTCCAAATAAAATTGTAATTATGTGAATGCACATTCTTTATATCTCAAAAACTGTTTTACTTTCCTGTATTTCGATTTCGTATTCGGATTCAGTGGGAAATTCTTCATAAAAATGTATACAACAATGTCGCGGCTGGCCAACTGTTTCTAAAACAAAATTGTAATTAAATGAGTGCACTTTTTCAGATCTCAAAAACCTGAAATTCGTCTAAATTTCAAAAACTGCTCGACTTTCTTACATTTTAAATTCGTGTTCGGATTCAGCGAAAAGTTTTACATTGGAATGCATATCAAAATGTTACTAGTCGGACATATTTTAATTTCTGTAAGCTTGTGTTATTGTCGACAAAAATGAAGGCGGATCCGAGTGCGTTCTATTATGAAAAACTTATAGTCCTTTTGCTATGCCCAAAACAAGTTATAAATCGTTGGAAAGTTTAGAAAATAAGCTATCGAAACAAAAATGGTACATGTTTGAAAAGGCAAACAATTTTTTTGCAAATTTTTCGTGAAAAATGGTTTAGCAAAAAATTATAAACCAATACGCACGGAAAAAGTTCTAACAGGTCAGCATTTTTATATTCTCTATCATAAATGTGACATGAGATAAGAATTTTATGAAAAGTTGTCACTCTAAGAGAAAGGGCTGAAATTTTCAAGTTTAAACCCATATAAAGCATGGTATTCTGTTCCTGTTTCACGTGAAAAAGCTGTAAAATTACATATAAAATTTCTTTCTGTGAAATAAGTGTGAAATTCCACAACATTTCCTCAGCAAAGTAGTATTCTGTTCACGCTGTGAAACAGCTTGCAACATGAAGCTAGCAACACAATTTTCATGACGTTTTTAAATACACATGTACATTTTAAATTGTGTGAAAGCTGGCACTTTATCGAATTCAGTAGCAGCGAAAACAAAGGGGGCTTAGTCGGCTAAACCTTACCCAAACCGATCGTTAAACTTTATTTCAGGAATGGCAAATTTTTATTAGTTTGACTAGTGCCCGCATGTGACGAAATTTCGGCTTATGCCTGTGGGTCTTTGCAAGAATGTAGTCCCTAAAGGTTTAGCTTAAAATGGTTCCAGGGATACACCCTGTGATCATGTAACTTTCCGAAACGTGTCACGTCCGTTTTTCTGTGCTATTTCCATTGGAAAAATACCTCATCTCAGTATTCTAGGTAAATGCTTCCAGATGTATCTATGCGTCATCAGAATTTTAGTTTATATGGGTTACCCCTGGCTCTTTTCAATGGCTACGAGAACGTTTTCATATATCCCCCTTTTTTAAAGGTTTGGGATTGATTTTCATTTCTACACGGTTTTACGGTGCCACGCCAAATTTTCCAATAAACCTATATTTTTCCATGAGCTTGAGATTGACTTCACATACATTTATCCATACCAAGTTCCAGGACTCTACCACAAATACTTCCAGAGATATGCACTAGAAAAATTCGGTTTGTATAGGAGGTTCCACACCCCCTTTAGATATCGGTTTTGTTTTAGCCATAACCATCCTTGGAAAGTCTGTGTCCGAAATTTCAAAAAAAATCGGTGCAGTCGGTATGAGCAAAATTAACTAACGATTGCAAAAAAGGAAATGAAAATCGCAGTTGACCAAAAAAGAATATTCTCTCAACTTCTCATAATGTAGAAAAGCTAAGAAATATAATAAGATAGGATATATTAAAATAGCCTGCAAAACATTTTCTAATGAAGCCTCTGAACTACACAAATCAGTTTGATTGAAAATTTTTTTTTATTTATTTATTTTATACTTCATTTTTGGGTGTGTCAAATTTTATGGAAACAATATGTGTTGCTGGAAAATTTTCACGTCTGTGAACAGAATACTAACCTTAACTCGACAAAAAACATCGGTAGAAAGAAAAACCTTTACACATTGGTTACCAGTAAACATAGCAACAACGTTGCGTAGTTTGAACAAAATGCTGTATAAAATGTTTTTCCTGGTACACTAGGCGAATTTTGCCCCATATATGTACATTAAACTGCATCACTCCCCATACAAAAAAAAAAATCGGTACTATTATTCCATAAAATCTATTATATTGTAAGACGTCCACAAAAATATTTCGGAAAAATATTAAGATTTAAGTGAGCTGGATCGATTTGAAAATACCTCCAAAAATGGAGTTTTTTATGAATAAAAATAGTTTCTTAAAGATGTTTTTTGAAAAAATCCCCTCAAATGACAAAACGGTTTAAGCTTAATATATTTGCATAAAAATATTTGAAAAAAAATTAAAAAAAAATTTGAACGGAATCGTAATGATAAGATTTTTGATGCTGTTTTTTAACTTTTTTCAAAGATTGGTATAGGAAAAACTTGAATAACTGAACCTAAACTCTTTCGATTTAGACTTAAGAGGTGTCATTGGAAAGGTATTTTCTCACCTTTTTATTTCTTTGCTAATAAATGCTTTGTTCAAAGGATGGAAGAGAAAGGTAAGATGAACGAACGTCATTCAAAGTTGAATTAAGATGTGTTGGTATTCGAAAAAACAAGATGGGACACGAATGACGTTTTTTTGGCCAGAAATAAAAACAGTGTAAAAATACCTTTCTGCTGAGATCCCATAAGTCTACATCAGAACATTTTTGGCCCAGTTATTCAAGTTTTTCGTAAACCAATCTTTGAAAAAAGTAAAAAACAGCATCAAAAATCTCATTCTTACGATTCCGTTGAAAAGATTTTTAAATATTTTTATGCAGATTTTTTAAGCTTAATCTAATTTGTCATCTGAGGGGACTTTTTTTAAAAAGTTCTTTAAGAAACTTTTTTATTAATAAAAAACTTAATTTTTGGAGGTATTTTCCAATCGGTCCAGCTCGCTTAAATCTTAATATTTTTCCGAAATATTTTGGTGGACGTCTTAAAGTATAATACATTTTGTAATCCCGGCGGAAAAACGGCAACTTTTTTTGGTGATGCAGTCTAATGTACATACATATGTACAAACAAGAGCTAAGAGTTTTATTTTTTGTTTAAAAATATTTTGTTTATAAAATGGCATGTTTAACTTCATCGCCTGGATATATGCATATTTTCGTTTTCGTAGTTGTAAAATTTGTAGGATCACAAACCGTGCGCACCCGTTACGACGCACGGGTGCATGAATGCCTCAACACTAATTTACTTATAGGTGAAGGACTATTCGCGTTTCAAGGGGAATTAGTCAATGAATTGGGCGGAAAGTAGTCCTTACCTCAATCCCATTTTAGAAACATACATCGCCAAAGCTTAAATCTTAAAGCAGGTTGTTGAAACTACTTAGATAAATACCCTTTTCCCGGATTACCTGGTCCGGCACAAATATATTAAAATAATTTGTATGTTGTTAGCCTTAGAGTCTTTAAAATCATTCATTTCTTTTCAAAACTGAATTACATTTTTAAATATTCCTTATTTGAGATAAACTCATTAGCGTACACAAGGGGTGGATTTTGGGGTTCAGAAGTATAAACCCCTCCCAAAATATATTCCTGGGTGCGCCCCTGGATAAACTATTTTTAATCTCTAATTAAACCAATGCCTTCCCCTCGAGGCAAGCCTTTGGTTTGCAATTTTTTTATACCAACCAAAGCCAATAATTTCTACGTTATTTTTTGTAAATATTCCTTTAATTCGACGAATAAAATCGGAATCGTCATCGGTGAAAATTGGGAAATAGTCGTGAACCCAAGGATAATCGTTAACAGTAACAATCCTTTTTGAAGTTGCATGGTACGCAGATCTCAAGAACTGTCTAAACTCCATATACATAAATGAAAGCTCAAGAAATGTTGAAGAAAAATTTATTAAACCCAATTTTCTCAAGCAGTTTTTTGTGATCAAAGAGCACAAGGCAACCCATGGTTTTAGCAGAAATTTATGCACGTTCCATTACTTTGTGAGAAAGAGTGATACAGCAGACTGTGAAATATCTTTCTTTTTTATTTGTTCTCTAACTTTACAAAGGTTTGGGTTGATTTATGAATACATATGTAGATAAATAAAATTTAGAAATAAAATAGACAGAAGGACCAGCGAAATATATCAAAATAACAATTTTTTTAATAAGGAGGTATCTATGGGTAGGGAATTTTACGAAATTTCGGGCAAAATCGGGGAATTTCATAGTCGTAATCGGGAAATTCTTAAAAATTAGTTGGCTATCCTAATTCCAAGGGAAAGCATACATTTTTTGAACGTGAGCTACATATTTACACTCGGAATGTGTATGTGTTTTTGTGTTTATCTTCGAAAAATAATCGTTTTATTCATTTGGTAAAAAGAAAGTTATCCGATTAATTGTAGACCGTAAGTTGGTACGTTGATCTTGCAAATCGACTATAAAGAATATTTTTCTTACCTGCTCCAAAACTCGAAGCGCTTTATCGTTGTTTCCATTAAGGGTATAAAATCGCGCAGATTCTGAAAGCCACTGAATAAAAAAAATCGTTTAATACTAAATAATGACATTAGCAATGAGCTGAAATTAAAATATATCCATATGTACTATGCATTTATTGACCTAAGAACCTATTCCAATAAAGAAAAATTAGACTAGTCGACAAGAATCCGACCTGTGGCATTTGACTACGGTTGCCAACCGTATATAGTATTGTACTATTTTTCGATCTGCGTACTATATACTATTGGAAAAGTCTGTGTGTGTGTACAGAATGTGGAATGGCGAGTTGAGAGTAACAAAGCGACTACCCCACTAATAAAAATGAACTTTTGATTTATATTGATTTAAATTGATTGCGATAAATCTTATGATTCTTTTAAAGAAATACATTTTTATAGAGGAAATCCATAGGAAAAAAGGATGTATACTAGAAGCGCGTTTTTCTTTTTAATAAAATACTATATATATTTGATGTTTATTATATTTTTTAAGATTGTTTTGTAAAAGTACCATACATTTTTTAGAAAATATTAGCAGCCCTACATTCGATCATCATTTCTTATGTAAAATTCTCGGCTGAATCCATGATTCAATAATAGAAAGGTTTTGTAATAAAACAATCTTCTCGCTCCCGCACATAAAATCGGCTCCTTTACTTGTGCAGAATGTTGCTTACTCTATAGTTTCTAGTGATATTAGTAGTAAAACCAAAAATTCTTCATTCTAAATATTCATTGGCGTCACCTTCGTTTGCGTAATTTTCTAGAACAAGTGTAGAATAGCGACCGTTTAGCTATAAAATAACCAAAAAAGCCGATTGATACGCTGATTTCAACGATACCAAATTTATTTGGCGCAGGTAAAAAAAAGAAGATATAAGAGGTTTATTTGTATTTTTTATTAAAACTAAATTGTTGAAACCCAAAAGTAGATCATGATAAAATATGTAATATCGAATTAAAGATAATAACTTGTACTTTCTAAACCATATAATTATGCAGTTTTTCAAAAAAGGTTATTTCATTAAAAAATAATATTTGTTCGTTTTTTAGTGGTTTTGGTTTCAAAATACAAAAAGCAATAAATTATGTACATCAGCTGAAGAACAAATTAATTACCTTTATGGTGACGTCATTAGTTTTTTAATCGGTTATAAAGTTCATAAGATATTAATATTTAAAACAACTAAAAACTGAACTTTAACCTTCTAAAACCTCTTCCTTTTTTGCTTGCGCCAAATCATTGTTGAAATGAGCATAAAAAGTTCTATTGATCTGCATTTTTCGTTTTTGCATAGGTGAACGGTCGGTATTCTAGATTTGTTCCCGGAAATTACGAATAACTTAAATCAAAAATTCATATTTTTATGTATTGTTTAGTATTTCCATTAAAACACCAAATATATTGCAAATTCGCATAGAATTAATAATACACATTTTACTTCTAATTGTATACTTTGCGTACTTTTTGTAGTACCATTGTACTACCGTTTTCGCAAAATGCGATCACATTCTTCCCCTTCTCCTACTTCCAAAATACAAATCTAGATAAAGGAGTGTCAAATTTTAGCTGTCACAAATTACACAACCTTGTATTATTGAATCATGGTACGGTTGCCAGACGTACTGATTTTATCAGTACAGTACTGATTTTTCAACTTTCGTACTGATTTTATTCATTCCTTTAATCAGCACGCTAATGTCCTGATGCCAGCAGCCATGTAAAGGAGCGCAAATTCGGAGTTGGATTTGTGGTGGGAGAGAGACTCCGTCGCCGAGTACTGTCGTTCACCCCGGTGGACGAGCGTCTAGCCACAATCCGCATCAAAGCGAGATTCTTCAACATCTCGCTTATCTGCGCCCATGCCCGATGGAAGAGAAGGATGAGGTATCCAAGGATCCCTTCTATGAGCGCTTGGATATCAAAATCGTGCTTGGCGACTTCAATGCCAGGGTGGGCAAGGAAGGGATCTTTGGAACCACCGTCGGAAAATTCAACTTTCACGACGAAACGTCCGACAACGGATTGAGGCTGACCGACTTCGCCGGGGCCCGAAACATGGTAGTATGCAGTACTAGGTTCAAGCATAAAAAGATCCATCAAGCTTTATGGCTGTCTCCGGATCTAAAAACGAGAAACCAAATCGATCATGTTGTGATAGACGGAAGGCACGCTACCAGTGTTTTAGACGTACGCACACTCCGAGGCCCAAACATCGACTCGGACCACTATCTTGATGCAGCCAAGATACGCACCCGCCTCTGTGCAGCAAAAAATGTGCGCCCAAATATGAAAGGAAAGCTTAACGTCGAAAAGCTGCAATCACAACAGACAGCCAGCGCTTTCGTTGCTCTACTCTCACACCTGCTCTCAAGGAGCACTCTTCAGCAACGCGACATATACGAGCAGTGGAACCACATTTCCCGCTCATTAAGTACCGCCGCCGGATTTCAGCGTGCCCGAAAAAAAACTGGTACGATGAGGAGTGTCAGGAAGCTGCAGACAAAAAAGATGCCGCCTACAGGGCCACGCTGTGATCGGGCGCAACGCGCGCTATGTGGGACCGCAAACGGGATCTGAAGAGGGAAGCGAGACGTATTTGCCGCAATAAGAAGAGAGAGGCCGAAATACGTGAGTGCGAAGAGCTTGAAATGCTAGCCGACAGGAAGAATGCCCGAAAATTTTACCAGAGAGTTAGGCGACTTACAGAAGGTTTAAAAACCGGGGCGTACTCCTGTAAGAACAATAATAGCGACCTAGTAACTGATGTCCCGAGCGTACTTAAATTATGGAGTGAACACTTTTCCGCCCTACTAAATGGTAGCATCACGGAAAGTTGCGGAGAAAAAGAACCCGATCCCGCAGTCGATGATGGCGGGGTCGACGTTCCACCGCCTGACTATGACGAGGTATAGTATATAACGCGGCTGAAAAACAACAAAGCCGCTGGAGTTGACAGCCTGCCAGCTGAGCTATTCAAGTACGGCGGCGAGGAGTTGATAAGGTGCATGCATCAACTCTTGTGCAGAATATGGTCAGATGAACGCATGCCCGACGACTGGAAT